TCTCTTAAATTTCTTTAAATATGTATGTATCAAGACATATATTAATATTAGATACATTTGTATTTAGATAAATCTAAGACAAAAAATTTAGGACGAAGGAAGTAAGATTTTTAATTTCTGCCCGTCACCGACTGGCGACCATGGATCGGCGTCGTCCTAGTATTCTCTGCCACCGGCGAGACGGTGAAAGAACGCATGCAGCCGCCAACGGCGACGTCGTCCGCCGTATCTCTGGTTTGTAGAACATCCTCACTACGCATGCATGACGTAGATTAGTAGCACGTATGCATCACACATATGTCCAGATCAATCAGCATGTTTGGATTTTGAATAATGTGCAGACACTACAACTACATTAGAGCATCTACAACTGGACTTGACAAATCCAACCTCACAAATGCCCGCGGACGCGCCCGGGTACGTCTGCAGACAGTGACTGGTCACGCCTCAAAAAATGCATTCCACATCCGGATACCTCACATTACAAACCTCAAATCCATATTACTACATGCAACGTGAAACCTAATCTAGGAGGAGCTCGTCCGGTTGCGCTGCCCGCTCGTCCGGCTCCGTGCTAGCCATGTCCGGCGGCCGGCTGCGCTCCTCAGAGTGTTGGTCCGGTCGCAGGCAAGGTAGGATAGGGCATGGGACACGAGCCGACTCACGGGACTCGAGGCGCCACCATCTCCCATGCCCTACTCTTCCTTATCGGAGCTCGGAACCCGAACGATCCCAATGGACGTCAGATCAATGACGGATCCGTAGGGGGACGAGCCACTGACGTCCACCATGATGCGGTTGCGTCGCCCGGACTGATGCCCCATACGGGGCGCCGGAGAATGCAGCGTTTGGACGACAGACGGACCGCACGGCCTCCAGGGAAGCAGCTACGGTTGGCCTAGCGCCGGATCCATGCATCATTTGGGCGGACGCAATGGATTCCCGACGGATGTAGTCCGAGCGCAGCCGTGTACGGGCCTCCTCCCAGGCGCGGCGGAGTGCAAGCCGGATGTCTATCTCCTCCTCGGGGACATGTGAGATGAGCTTGGGGTTGACGGATCTGGAGCTGAAAGATTCGGATCCGCTGCCCGCCATGCCAGTGACGGCCGAAAGGAGCCGAAGATGAGCTTGGATGACGGAGGGGATTGAAGGGGAGGGGAGTGAAGTGGCTAGGGTTTGGTCCACCAAGCAGATGGGAAGGAATTTATGTGGGTCGGATGGGCCAGCATGGGCCGGGTCCGACGTAGCGGGCGTGCCCGGGCAACCCCATATCCGCCCCCTATTTGGACTGGATATGGAGAGTGCCGGTCAGCCCGGGCGTTTAAGGGCCGTTTGAGAGGCCCGTCTGGATAAAAAATTGTGAACAGACAGTGACCGCGCGGCCCGCCCGAACGTATACGGTGGGTTTGAGAGTTCCGCATGTAGATGGTCTTACTGTACTGTCGTTTGCATGGATATGCTCCATACCTTCTATACATATGGGCCTCTAATTTGGCACCAGCCTGCATTGAGAAAGGTTATATGTAAATGTTGGCCTTTAATTTTGTACTGACCTGCATCATTTGTGATGGTTAGAAGGCACGTGCGTTACAGCCAGCCGGAGCTCTCTTGTTCGAACTTTGCAGAGCTCATTTTTATTTTTACCTATTTATTTCCCGTGGTGACAAGTGGACCCTGCACTCATGCAGCACGCCTGATACGCTGCTGTATACACGACCGTATGCCAGGACCTGCGCAACAAGTTTGAGGACCATATTGACACCGTATTAGCAAGTACTGGGACTGTATTGGCACACTTTCTAAGTTCGAGGACTGTTTTGGACCTAGCCAGCAAGTTTAAGGAGCAATGATGCATTTTACTCCTCACATGTCCAACACCGCATGCTCCGCTAGTGGGGAGAGTGTGGGGGAACACGTAACTTAAAATCCAGGCAACAACAGCTCCACTTTTACACCTTAAAAAAAACAACATCAAACCCACTCTCTTGTGGCCATCGCAGATAGCCACTTGGTTTACTCGAGCTTCTTTTTCATCGTCCTCTTCTTGCATCGTGTATTCGTCTTCCAACATTGCAATCCTATCGCGCGGGGGCTGGTGCTGGTGAATATGTTGATGAAGATTGATTCTTCCACAATAAGAGAATCGTTGGTGATGTCAATGGATACGATTTCCCCATCCCGGAGGAAAGTTTTTTGGCGGAATCGCTCCGTGGGAAGCAAAAGTGCTTTTGCTCATGTTTCGCCTCGAGACGGCGGCGCTTCATACCGAAGTCTTTTTTTTCTAGAGCAAATAGCCTCATATAGTAGGAGATGGGCACCAGAGGCCTGCTGGTGGGCCAACGAGCTCATAAGGCGTGCCCTTGGGGACGCCCCTGAGCTCATGGCTCTCTGGTGGGCCCCCTCCTGATATTTCTTCAGCCAATATTTTTTATATATTCTAAAATGATTCTTCATAAATTTTCAGATCATTTGGAGCCGTGGAGAATATCTATCTCTACTATAGCCTTTTCAGGTCCAAAATTCCAACTGTCGACAATCTTCCTATTCATGTGAAACTTGCAAAATAAGACAGAAAAGGCATTAGAATAGCATCATAAAGTGAAATATTGACCCAAAACATAATAAATAGTAGTAGAAAAACAAGATCCAAATTGGACGTATCAACGTGTGGAATGATAAACGGTAAAATAAAAACTTCCTAGTCTTGCCATTAGAACTAGCTCAAGTGTTGTTGATGATCAGGTTTTCCAGATCTTAGGATATCGTTAATTGTAACTAATTCTAAAACAACATTGAGATTATGACGTTGGAAGAACGATCATATTGAATCGACCTAGAATTGTCTGTTATGAATTGAGTTAATATCGTCCGTATTCAATTGTAATGTCACTTTAATATCGTCCATATTCAATTATAATATCACTGAGTGTTAACTTGTGATTTTGCTTTTTAGACCAGGTATCATAGTCACTTCTTACCGCACGGTGGACTTTGGGGTTGCTCAAACGTCACCTGCAACACGGTGACCATAACGACAACTTACAATCTCATCGGAAAGATTGACAAGGGACTAGATAGCTCGAGAGTGGGATTTGCTCCTCCGATGATGGAGAGATATTCTTAGGGCCCTCTCGGTGTGACGATATCTATCATCGTCTGGCCAGAAACAGCTGACTACATCACGGGGATGCCGGAACACAACAACGAGAAAGAAGAACAAAACCAGTAACGAGGATAACAATATTGTGAGCATTTGATGACTCAGGAGGATACCTATACATCTCGGGCTTTGTGAAATATCGCGGAGCAAAGGGAGTATCACATGATAACCAAATGTTCACTCGAATATCATTCTTGTGTTCATAGGGATCGATATGGACGTCCACGGTCCCGGTGCCGGTCATTGAACGAAGGGGTTTCGCTCATGTTTATGAGTTACTGAACCTACGGGTCACAAGCTTAAGGCAATCACGATCTGCTGAGTGTTAGTAGAACGGGAGTGATCAGAATATATTTATGAAATTGTCTCATTAATATTCAAAATAGTTCCAAAAGGATCTGGGAGCATTTCGGGAACACCGGAAGGGTTTCAGAGTTTATCAAGTATTACCAATAATTAATATGTAGGTGGAAAATGTTTTCGATGATGTTAAATTACATATAATATGCTCTAGTAATAGTTAAAGAGCTTTTATATTTAATTTAATATCAACGGGCCTAAAAAGGCCAAGTGGTGGAGGAAGAATTGGGCCACCAAGGCCCAATAGGGGAGGCACCCCCTTCCCCCTTGAGGGAGGCCGAATCCTAGGGGGGAGGACTCCTCGACTCCTCCTTCCCCCCTTGGCCGACACAAGGGAAGGGGAGGCCTTCACTAGTTCATCTAGCCCTAGTTCTAGTTGGTCCTAATTGACTAATTAGAGCTTGGTCTAGTTCCTCTAATCCTCATAATTAGAAGTCTAGTGTGGTTTAAATCTTCTTCCTTTAATTCTCTGGCGATGATTAGCTCTGGGCGGCGAAGCGTTGCCGGATCGTGAAGGTTGTACGCTTGCAACCAAGTAGAGAGGTCGTGCTTTCGGTTTTCGGTTCGAGGGATTGTTCGTGGGCGGTTCGCGCGATCGTTTATCGGCGGTTCGCCGGATCGTTTATCGGCGGTTCGAGGCACTCCAAGTATGATCTACACGGACACGTTCTTCTTCCGCTACAACTCAAGGATCGTAATGATTGTGATCACAACCTGTTATGCATCTTCATATTGATCTTAGGTGGAGGAGCGATTTTTCTTGTTTTTTACTACGTTCCCCAACACTCGGCAGCTGCTTGGGCGCCAACTACGGATGAGACACTGAGAAGCCGCGACTGGTGCACTCCTCCTCGCTTGTTGCCATGCGCTCGCTCTCGGGCAACAACAATGACCTCGCCGCGATGACCAGCGTCAGCTCACGGCCACGGCCAGCAGCAGCCGGCAACAGTAGCAGGTTGCGGGTGGCGGCGCGCAGTAGCAGGTCGCGTGCGGCGGCGTGCGACAGCTCGCGGGCAGCGGCTGGAAGACCGTGGTGGGACGTGAAAGTTCCTTCTCGCCAACCCTTTCTTGTTTTAGAGGTTCGTGTAAAAAAAAGAGAAATACCGCAGATATAGAGGAAATGGCCTAGACTTTATAGGATCCCACGACAAATTTTAGGAAACGACTGTTTTACGAGGTCTGCTCCGGACGAAAAAATGAACTCATCCCGTAAATTAACAGTTAATTTTATCAGATGACCCAGTTTACGGGATCTGTTAGAGATGATATTTCTTGAGGACCTGAAGAGCAAACAAAGCGACGGACGGTTAGCAAAGACAGCGGTCAACAAAAGTCTCCGCGCTGCAGTCCACATCCGACAGCACAGCACCGACACAAATCTCCTCTCACGCACTCACACACACCGGCACACCACTCTGCCACTCGCTCTCGCGGAGTGAAGGCACGGGAAAGAGGGGAAAGGGGATCGGATCGGCCGGAGATGAGGAAGACGGCGGTGGGCTCCGCCTCCGCGGGTGCAGGCTGGCCGTGCGGTCTGAACCTCAACGTGGTGTTCCTGCTCTCCATGGTGGCCACCAACCTGCTCTCCCTCTACCACCTCTCCATCCGCGCCTCCCCCACCACGCCGGCGCTCCAATCCGGCTCCGACTTCGAGCAGCAGCAGGTGCTCCAGCAGCTCAGCGCCATCCGCGCCACCGTCTCCCACCTCCGGTCCGCCACCCCTCCCCCGCCCCCCGAGCTCGTCCTCTACTCCCGCCTCGCCCCCGTCGCCTCCGCCTGCTCCGCGCACCCCGACCTCCTCCACCGCTTCATGTCCTACGTCCCCTTCGCCGCCTGCCCCGACGACGTCCACACCCTCGCCGAGCCTCTCATCCTCCGCGGCTGCCACCCGCTCCCCAGGCGCCGCTGCTTCTCCCCGACGCCCGACGCCGGATCCGTCCAGCTCCCCACCGACCCCTTCGCGCCGCTCCCCGACTCCGCCGTGCGCTGGCCGACGGACGCGAAGAAATGCAGGTCCTTCTCTTGCCTGCCGGCGTCGCTCGGGTTCGACGTGGCGCGGACGGAGGCCGGCAAGTTCCTCCGGGCGCTGGGGCCTCTGGACCTGACGGTGCCGCAGCTGCTGCGTCTGGCGTCGATGAGCCGCGCGGGGCCCATTCGGCTGGGGCTGGACGTTGGCGGCGGCACGGGGACGCTGGCGGCGCGGCTGAAGCGGGCGGCGAACGCGACGGTGCTGACGACGACCATGGACCTGGGCGCGCCCTACTCGGAGGCCGCGGCGGCGCGCGGGGTGGTGCCGTTGCACGCGCCGCTGCAGCAGCGGTTCCCCGTGGGGGACGGGACGATGGACCTGGTGCGGGCGGGCCACGCGGTGAACCGGTGGATCCCGGAGCCGGCGCTGGAGTTCCTGTGGTACGACGCGGACCGGGTGCTGCGGCCGGGCGGGCTGCTCTGGGTGGACCACCTCTGGTGCCGGAAGGGCGACCTCGACGGCGTGTACGCCGCCATGCTGCGGAGGCTGGGCTACAAGACCATCAAGTGGGCCGTCGCCGACAAGACCGGCATTGGCGCCAAGGACGAGCTTGTCTACCTCACCGCGCTGCTGCAGAAGCCATTCTAGCCAGGCTGCAGATGTGGACACATGCTTATCTGATCTCTGCAAGTGTTGGGAGCTTTTGTGATTCATCCATGGTCACACGTTCACGTTCCTTCCCACTCAAGTTCCATATGCTGTCGATGTGCAAGCAACGATTTGCAAAATGCAGTGATGTGCAGGGAGGTTGGAAACAGTTACGTACCATTCATTTTTAAGAGATCTTTCAACGAGCCGACGATTTCCGATCTTTCAGTGGTCACCGCAGGAGACGATGAAGGCGGCTAGAAACTCCTTTCTTTCTCAGGTACTAGAAAGTTCTAGAGACACTAGTAAACAGATCATCGGCCATACTTTCGAAGTGATCAGATTTGGATATGAACTCGTTTATTTAATCAAATAAGATCAAAATGGATCACCGGTCACGTAACTGCCATGTCAGCATACCTCGGACCCCTCGTGTTTGAGTTTTTTTAACACAGTACAATCAAAGTCACTCACACCCACGAGTATCACCCTTATGAACTCACACACGCATCTATATCCTACCCTTATAAGCAATTTTGAAAGACCGAGTCGGCATAACATCTTGAATTGACGAAGGGCTCATGCTTGAGTTAATACTGCGTAGAGGATGTTTTTTGCAAACTGCCAGTCACAATGTAGTCAATGGCATATCGATGAGTTTTTTTAAAAAGACTTTTTTCACATTGCAAGGGTCTCATACCCACAACCTAAGGGCAAGAATTAGTTGACCACGAAAATTCGCACTTGCACAGCCGTCTACGATCGTTGATGCGCGACATGATACAAAAATTTATTTTGTCTGAAATTACATGAAAAAAGATGAAAACTAGGAATCTTGTCAATATGACAAAATATCCTTGTGCTAATACTTCATCCAACCGTTCCGTTGGAATATGTCCTAGAGGCAATAATATTGTATTATTACATTTCTCTGTTCATAATTAAGAGTTTATATTCTATTCTATAATCGTTATGATTCTGAATACGCGATTGAGTGAAAAAAACTCATATGCACATGTGGAATGATAAACGGTAAAATAAAATTCCTAGTCTCGCCTCTAAAACTACCTCAAGTGTTGTTTGTGATAAGGTTTTTCGGATCTAGAGATATCATTAAGTATAACGATAGTCTCAGAACAACATTTCAAAGTATGACGTTAGAAGAACAATTATATTGAATCGACTCAAACTTGTTTGTTATACTTTGAGATAATATCGTCAGAAGTCAATTGTTATAACACGGGGTGTTAACGTGTGATTTAGTTCCATAGACCGTGAGAGTATTGTAGTCACTTCTTAACGTACGATGGGATTTTGGGTTTCTCAAACGTCATCTGTAACACGGTGATCATACTGACAACTTACAGATTCATCGGAAAGATTGATAAGGGACTAGATAGGCCGAGACTGGAATTTGCTCCTCCGACGATAGAGAGATATTTTTAGGGCCCTCTCGGTGTGACGGGATCCATCATCGTCTGGCCAGACACAGGTGACTATGTCACGAGGAGCTGGAACACGTCAATGAGAAATAAGAACAAAACCGCTATAGTGATCATGTGTATGACTCAAGAGAATGTCGACATATCTCACCTCGGGTTTTGCAAAGTATCACGAAGCAAAGTGAATAGCACATGATAACCAAAGGTTCACTCGAATGTCATTCGTGTATTCATAGGGATCGACATGGACGTCCATGGTCCGCTATCATTGAACGAAGGGAGTTTTGTTCATGTCTATGTTTTACCGAACCTACAGGGTCACAAGCTTAAGGTAATCACGATCTGAATGTTAGTAGGACGGGAATAATGAGAATATATTTGTGAAATATTTTCACTAATATTCAGAATAGTCTCGAAAGGAACCGGAAGCGTTCCGGAGTCACCGGAAGGGTCTTGGAGTTTATCGGGCAATATGAGGTATTTCTGATAAATAATATATATATGTGGAAAATGTTTTCGGTGATGTTAAATTAATAATAAAAGGCTCTAGTAATTGTCAGGAGACTTTTACATTTAATTTAATATCAATGGGCCTTAAAAGGTCAAGTGGTGGAAGTGGAATTGGGCCACAAGGACCCAATAGGTGTGGCACCCCCTCTCCCATGGAGGGGAGGGAGTGGAGGCCGAATTGGGGAGGGATTCCCCTCCCCTTGGTCGGCGCAAGGGGGGAGTCCTTTCCCCCTTGTGTGGCGCCCGCTCCTCTCCCTCCAACCTATATATACTAGTGGCTTTGGCACTTTTTCAACACACAAGTTTGGAGCCTCCTTTATCTAGTTCTAGTTCTAGTTGGTCCTAGTTGATCAATTAGTGCTAGACCAAGATCCTCTAATCCTCATAATTAGAAGCCCAGTGTAGTTCTAGTCGCGTCCCTCTAATTCTCCAGCGAAGATTAACTCTGGACAGCGAAGCGCAGCCGAATCGTGAAGACCGCATGCTTGCAACTCATAGAGAAGTCGTGCTTTTCAGTCTTCCGTTTGAGGGACTGTCTGTGGGCGGTTCACTGGATCATTCATATATGGTTCGAGGGACTCCAAGTACGATATACACTGACTCGTCTTATTCCACTACAACTCGGAGTCTATAACGATCCAATCCAACGTTAATGCATCCTCATAGTGTTCCTGGTTGATCGTAGGGCGATTTTTTTGTTTTCTACTACGTTTCTGAAGAGTGGCATCTACATTTATGTTCTTGTACATTCTCCTATATTGTCGTCCTGTTTAATTCCTTCTTTATTCTTCAAATGGATCTTCTTTTTAATCGTGTTTCCGTACATTATTATTGTTTACCTTCTTCTTCCTCGTTGCATGTGCTCCAATGTCACCTTGTACTAGTCTTCTCTTTCATGTCATATGTGTTCTTCCTTTCACTGTTTGTTCAGCTTCTTTCTGTTGGTTTTATGTTTGTCCAGTTATCTTTGTCTTCCTGCAGAGTCCCGTTGCAAATTCATGGCATGCTTCTTCGTATTCCAACTTCATCGACTCTTTATTCGATGTATTATTGTAGTACGACACATTATACCACTTTGGAGTAAAATTGGTTATAAAGAGACTTGACCATAAAGCAACTAGACGACAAGTGTGGCCAAACCATCAGTCAGCCGACTTCGAGAGCGTTGGGAAGATAGCAGCAAGCCGCTGCTAGTCTTCCAATTTTTTGGGAGACAGCACCCGACGGAGACCAAGGTCCCAATTATTACGCGAAACATCGAGATGGAGATCTTACACTACAGAAGTTGCTCTATTTTGCAACATTTCACTTGAGTCGCATATAACCCTTTTTCGTCATGGAAAATACCCCCGTGAAGTTTTACGGCCGTCACCCCCACCATCACCGAAGCATCGTCATGGAAAATAAAATTTTGATGGTACCACTTTTTCGTCATGCAAGATCGCATTTTAGGTGACGAGCCAAATAATGTCACCATTTGACGTTTTCGTTGACGGCCCAGAATGTCACCTACGATAGCCCAAACTGTCGCCTGATACGTCTCCGTCGTATCTACTTTTCCAAACACTTTTGCCCTTGTTTTGGACTCTAACTTGTATGATTTGAATGGAACTAACCCGGACTGACGCTGTTTTCAGCAGAATTACCATGGTGTTGTTTTATGTGCAGAAAACAAATATTCTCGGAATGACCTGGAACTCCACGGGAGGTCTTAGAAAAAATAATAAAAAATCATCGCCAAATATGAAGACCAGGGGGCCCACACCCTTCTCACGAGGGTGGGGGCACGACCCCCCCTAGGGCGCGCCCCCTACCTCGTGGGCCCCCTGTTGCGTCTTCGACTCCAACTCCACCTCCATATATTGAGTTTTGATGAGAAAAAAATCAGAGAGAAGAAATCATCGCATTTTACGATACGGAGCCACCGCCAAGCCCTAAAACCTCTCGGGAGGGCTGACCTGGAGTCCGTTCGGGGCTCCGGAGAGGGGGATTCGTCGCCGTCGTCATCATCAACCATCCTCCATCACCAATTTCATGATGCTCACCGTCGTGCGTGAGTAATTCCATCGTAGGCTTGCTGGACGATGATGGGTTGGATGAGATTTATCATGTAATCGAGTTAGTTTTGTTAGCGTTTGATCCCTAGTGTCCATTATGTTCTGAGATTGATGTTGCTATGACTTTGCTATGCTTAATGCTTGTCACTAGGGCCCGAGTGCCATGATTTCAGATCTGAACCTATTATGTTTGCATGAATATATGTGAGTTCTAGATCCTATCTTGCAAGTCTATAGTCACCTACTATGTGTTATGATCCGGCAACCCCGAAGTGACAATAATCGGGACCACTTCCGGTGATGACCATAGTTTGAGGAGTTCATGTATTCACTATGTGCTAATGCTTTGTTCCGATTCTCTATTAAAAGGAGGCCTTAATATCCCTAAGTTTCCAATAGGACCCCGCTGCCACGGGAGGGTAGGACAAAAGATGTCGTGCAAGTTCTTTTCCATAAGCACGTATGACTATATACGGAATACATGCCTACATTACATTGACGAATTGGAGCTAGTTCTGTGTCACCCTATGTTATGACTGTTACATGATGAACCGCATCTGGCATAATTATCCATCACTGATCCGGTGCCTACGAGTTTTCCATATACCGGTTCTCGCTTATTTACTTTCCCGCTGCTACTGTTACAATCACTACAAAATACCAAAAACATTACTTTTGTTGTCTTTACTTTTGTTGCCGCTACCACCACTATCATATTACTTTGCTACTAAACACTTTGTTGCAGATACTAAGTTTCTAGGCGTGGTTGAATTGACAACTCAGCTGCTAATACTTGAGAATATTCTTTGGCTCCCCTTGTGTCGAAGCAATAAATTTGGGTTGAATACTCTACCCTCGAAAGTTGTTGCGATCCCCTATACTTGTGGGTTATCATCGCCTAAGATCTTTTTTGTGACAATAATTCTTCACCGGCGATCGGTCCGGGGGGTTGACCGGTCAAAGATTCATATAGGTGGGGCCAGCAGCTGCT